GGAGCCATGGGGAGACCCCTGTCAGCGCTGAGATGCCTCTACTGCCACTTGATCCACAAGACTTTCTACTCACTGGCCTGTGATCTTCCTGCATTTGGCATCATTGCATGTGTTGCATGAGTCTGAAGAGGAATTTATACATTGGTATCGGACATATGGACTAACATCAGACTTATGGACTTGATCTGGATGGGGCTGGGATGTTTTCTCAATATTCAATTGCTCTTGTATATAAAGCTCTTTCTTAAACACATAAGAGTGTCCATGGATTTGTTTCTCTAGCCCACCCGGACTGAAACAATCACAGAGGAAACATAATTCTTCTGCTTTTAGATTTGGGGTTATGTGAAGCAACAACTGTCCTCCTATTTTTATGTATGTCATTTGTAGTTGGTTTGCTGTTTCTCTGTAGCTTATAGTTCCCTAGCCTAAAAATGATACAGAATATGAATTGATATTATAAGATGACAGTGATCTCAAGGAATATTGCATAATAAAATATGAATTATATATTTATGATAATAATTAAGGGATTAATAAAGGGAACTTACAATCAAGTAATTGTTGTAAATAATGTTCTCCAACAAAGATGAATAAATAAAAATATACAGGGCTTAAGATTGAAACAGTTCATAAAAAGTGGACACAAAAGTGAAGAGACTTTGACATGAGATGCTGGTTAAATGGTGCTCTGGCATGTAATTATCATGGAAGGATCTAGCGATGCACAATATCCTTTATCGTGAACCTATGTATAGGGTGCAGAGGAAGAGAATTGGATGGAGACTCTGGAGCTCATGATGCCACCTTTTGTTAACTCAAGAAGATTAAGAAAATCCTCAAACCATTCTGAATTTCAGAAATAATTACAAACTTTAAGAGATAAGAAACAGTAATGCCAGGGGTCTCCTTAGTCTAAGCATCTCTGCTGCTGTAAGGTCCCAGGAAGATAACTGATCGAGTACTGTAATATTTGTGACAGGTCGTAGGAACCTGGGTTCAGAAGAGATAGAAAAGGGGAACCTTGTGCCTTGTCCTTGGAAACTTCATTACTAGAAAACATAAAAGAATTAGTATTGGGAAAATGGCAACTCCAACTACAAGTTTCTCCTGCTTAATGTGAAATGGCGTGCCTTTTATTCTGCCTTGTCCCTTAGGAAGCAAAGAGGAAAAGAAGACCGGTGCCTTGAGTACCTACTAGAAGTAATAACACATTTAATTTTGAATTTGAAAGCATGTATAGAATTTCCTAAGTTTGTATTTGTAGGTATCTTGGGCTCCGAGGCCATATCAATCCTAGTAAATTCTAGATTGGTAGAACGTACCAGGTTGTTTTATCCAACTCTGTAGTCAACACATATTTACTGAATTTAATCATACTCAACACCATTCCTTCCCAAACAGTTTTATGAATAATGCCTACATTGAATCACAGAGGTCTGGTCATCAGTTAATCAATGTACATTTAAATAGCCAAAACAAGTTAAGTAAGGAATGAAAACAGTTTTAAGATTACTTTTACCACAATGAAAACTCAAGGCAGCTCTTGGGTGGTATACATATCTTAATGCAATAAGTTAGCAACATCAAACTCACTCCCTTTGAGTCCATTCCAATTCATAACCCCCCTAGATGTCCTGTGAGAGATGATCATTATTATCAAAACCAATGGGTTGATCCAGGATCAGTAGATGCTGTGCCTAAGATTATGAAATCGTTATACTGCCAATGGATGTACGAAGTTGTCAACAAAAGCCATACGTACTGCATCATAGGATATGCGGTAAAAATCCAGGCCGACCTCAGAAAACAAAACACATGCAACTGTGTGTTGTATGGATAACAATCAAACTCATCATAAATTGTATCTGTATGGCTTAGTATTACCAAACTCTGTCACACTTTGATTCAAAACATGAATGACAGTGTTTATCCTCATTATTTCCTAGCCTCTCAATCACTTCATTATCTCACGGTGCTACAAATTCAAATCCCATCGGGATATCAAGACTTGACAAACCCAATACTGTAGAATGTAACTAGTTTGTAACGGAGAAGCATCAGGAAATAATTTGGGTGAAAATCCAATTTCAACTTACCTTCTTATTTCCACATTTAGTTCCATTGGCCACCATGCCTATTTCTTGAGTGGTGTCTTCGGGATCAAACGTTTTACATGTCCGAAAAGTTATTATGCGTCCTTTCCAGGGCAAATTATCTGACCCACCTTGACAGAACAATTTCCCACACATGGCATCACTGAGGAAAAGTCAAAGTTTATTGTACTGAAATTCTAGGATGTGTGATACAGTTTTACATAAACACATATCAGTTCCATTACTATCACTGCTCAATGCACAGTATTTCTCCCTATTAACAGAGACCACTGTTTACCTTTTGCACCCCTATCCTCTTCATTCTGAGTAATAGAACTCCTATATATAAGGAAGTGTACTGGAGCTACAGTGGGTTAAGTGTTGGGCTATTAGCCACAGTTCCATGGCTCCAACCCATCAGTCCTTCAGTGAGTGAAAGATGAGGCTCTCTGCTCCCATAAGGACTCACAATCTCAGAAACCCTGTGGAGCAGTCTACTCTGTACTATGAATCAGAATCAACTCCATAGTAATGATGTTCTTATTGCTTTGTTCATCTGTTTTATATTAGCAGCGCACAGAGTTGCTGGACAATACATTTACCAAATTACCGTATACCTAATCCTGACCAATTGTCTCATTGCTAGTCAATAAGAATATGCAGAATATTAGGTGAAAAAATTTTAATGAGTAAAACACGATATGTCCCATTACTACCTCCCTCTACATTTTGCTGATTGAGAGGTCATAGTTGGGGTTAGAAAGGCTATCTAGGCAAAGATAAACACTTGGGAATGAGGGCCATGTGTGTAATGGAGCTGGAAATTATCTGGAAGATGGATTCTTAACATCAAGTAGGCACCTCAGAAATACATTTCTGACTTGTTTCAGCTAAAGTTTTATGAATTTAGAATGCTTTTAAAAGACATACTGCTCAATTTACATCTATAGCCAATACAAAACTGAACCTGGTCTAACACTGCAAGGCATAATGTGGAGTAATTGAAAGGGCTGTCTCTTTGTACATACAGAGGATCCTGCTTAGCACTGAAAATGACCACTAGTTATTGCCAGGATGAATAAAGTCAAAAAAATGAAACTGGGGTAAATTTATTTATGTGTATTCAAAGCAATGCTGTGAAAAAATTTTCTGAAAGTGATAGAATCATATATTTTATGAAAGTTGTTGAAAATATGATTGAGTATAGAAAGGCATAAGGGATGATTATTAAAAAGTGACTACATTGGAAACCTGAGTGAGTGAAGCATTCCTCTAGCAGTAGAAACTGAACAGTACTCATAAAAGCAGTTGTTCAAGAGAATAGTAAGTGAGCGTGTGTGTGTGTGTGTGTGTGTGTGTGTGTGTGTGTGTGTGTGAAGGATAGAACTATGCTATTCCCTCTTCCCACTCACTCACTATCTCTCAAGCTGCATACTGCCTTTTCCATAAACTTCTTTCCCCCTTGGGGTTTCCCGTAAGTTTCTGTAGAGACGAAAGAAATATGTGTATCCTTTAGGTTCAAATTTCCCCAGAGATGATTCTATGTCTAAACTATAATTTTTGAGTAATGTCTAGCATTTAGAAAGTTAGTGTTCAATAGAAAAGCTTTAGGAAATGCTGACATGTTCAATCTATTTTCCTAATTTAAAAAATTTTTTAAAAATCACCTAAAATTGCAAACTCAAAAATAATATCTCATAACACATTCTCAAGTTTATCTGGTGTGATAGTTTAATATTTTGTGCCATGATACAGGTATTAAAAATAAACTCTTCTCATAAATTGCCAATTCTTTCTCTTACCGTTTCAGTTTTTATAATGTAATTCTAATGGCAAATCCATATAAAACCATGTAAGCATTGTATTGGTTATTCCTCTGAGTAGGTAAATATTTTTACCTCTAGAATAA